ATCTAAAACACTTGTTCTCGGTATACAGACAACATCTAATGAAATGAGTTCCTCCGCATACATAACATCTAAGACTAACAACTCCACCCTAAGCCCTTCCCCTTGTTGTGTCAGTAGCAATGTTTTAAAACCTGGACCGACTCGGCCAGTCGGACTGGTTGGACCGGGAACCGGTGGTCCAGCCGATTCGAATCTGAAGTTGGATCGGTTATGCAGTCGACCCATTTCAAACCGGATTGAACCGGTCAATTTTCCGGTTCAACCGGTGAACAGGTGGGTCAAACCGGTTCAACCACTTTTTTTTCTTATTTTTTTTAAAATTTTTTAAGGGACCATAAATCACAAAAATAATAATGAAAATTGAATCTCTTAATGAAAAAGCAAGGAGTCTTATTAAATATAACAATGACTACTTGTTCTAATATATTTGTTTGCAATATATACAACTTAAATAACTTTTATAGTATATTATTAATTTTAAATTATATATTTAATAATGCAATATCTATGTAAATATTACATATATTATTTTGTGATATTAATTGCAAGCATATTATATATGTACATATTATTTATATTTTTAATTTGTATTAATATACCGTTTAACATGTAATTTTTTTATGTATTTTTTTACAAAATAAAAATAAAAATAATTTTAAATAAGATAGAAAAATTGAAATTTAAAATAAGATGAATTTATTAAAATTTATAAGTATAAAAAATATATTTAATATAAATATTTTTTTAATAAAAATCGAGTCATGCGGTTCAACTAGTGACCCAACGGTTCAACCTTTGACCCACTGACCCAGTACCTTAACCGGTTCGATGACCGGTCCGGTTTTTAAAACTATGGTCAGTAGGTTTCCTTGTGACCAGACCCCTTTGTTAGGACATATCATAAAGCTTCTCTATAACCTTCAACCCTCTTGGATCCAACTAGTCTTAGAAGTTTTCACTACTCAATTACCACCTTCCAACCTCTCAATTACTTTAGCCTTTTATACCAAGGTTGAAAACTTGATGGTTATAAGCACCACCACCCTCTTTGACTTATGCTTCAAACCCTCAGCAAACTTCTTGCACTTCTAGGTTTTAGAGATAGTTTGAGTAAAAATGTGTCAAGTGTTCGAACCTCATTGCATAATCTGAAACTGACAAGTACTCTTGGTGTAGTCTTATGAACTCAATCTCATGAACTTTACCACCTAGGCGTGCCTCGCACTTTTTAAGAAATACTTTTCAAGAAACACTATCTTGAAGTATTCCCAATCAACAACCATTCCTCAAACAATCAACATCTACTAAGTGCACCTCCACTAGTATTCTACCTCTTCAACCAACATGTATTTCGCATAAGCTAACTTCTTATCCAAAGAGCATCATAACACAATAAATATTTTCTCCATCCCATAGATATAGTGGTCAGCTGCCTCTGGATCTGCATCTCCCCTAAACTAAGGAGGGTGATACTTCCAAAACTCTATCAAGTCTTAACTCTCCTGAGACCCAATTGGTCTGGTTGCCTCAATGATAGTTTGTTGTGTTTCCACCTAAGCAAAGTAGGTGTTCTACTGTTGCATAGCCATGGTCATCATCTCCATGGCACATGCTATCTATTTATTTGATCTAAACGTCTTATACATAAATCAATAAATTACAACACAACAACTTAGTTTCTTAGATGTCGCCACTTAAACAAGGAAATCTAATACTATTGTCAGGGTAGAACAATTGGGTATAGGCCTACCACGGCATTAGCTAACTTAACCAAGCCTCCTATGTAATTAGCGACTAACTACCCTCCAAATACTATACCCTTTTGATACTTAGTTAAAAACTAAGTTCTTGACTTCGTACTTTACAATTGATTGGTCACTTGTAATCAATGTAGCTCAACCTTGTCCACACATAGTATTAACTAAGTTTTAAAGGAGATTCAACACAATTATCCACTTCAAAGGTTAACTTTCAAAGAAGGGTTTTCAATAAATTGGGCTCTAAAAGAAACACAAAATAGTATTCACACAATGAGATATACAACTTTGGAAAATCTCCCTTCTAGTCTTAAGTGGTCATCACAACTTAACAATGCAACAACTTTTTACATATTCAACATAATAACGAAATCAACATACAACTCTAAATCTCACAACATACATCTCAACTTATATTCAACTTCTCAAGTAACAACCCACAACATAATTATCACACACAACTTCATCTCTGCAACTCATTCATCATATACTCATTTAATAACTAAATCAACAAGTATTCGACACTTCATTAACTACATCATCGTGTTTTTCTTTAGCAACCAACACCCGACACTACAAAGCCAACGTTTGACACCATCTAGGTAGGGAGCTCTTTGCCTCGTCTACGCTTGGCGCTACACAATGTGCGCCCAGCGTGGCTAAGGTAGAGGTCCCTAAGACCTCGCGCTCGACATGGTGAAGCACCAAGCCCGACCCCATCTTAAGCAGAGGATCTTTGCCTAACTCATATTCGACATCGTCATACCAAGGCTTAACATAATCCAGATAGAGAGCTCTGGCTTGGCCACGTTGGACGCCACTCAACTTTGGGCCTAACACCATCAAGTTAGAGAGTTCTCAAGGTCCTCATGACTGATGTCGTTCAAGCCATGCTTGATGCCATGTCAACTTGAGACAAGTCTCTCTCCTTACATCCAATGCCACTGATCTTGTGTCTAACATGATTGAGACAAAAAGTATTAAGTTAGAATAGTGCCCGACACCACAAAGGCACGCCCAACATGATATCAAAATTATAAATAGGCATAACTTGATTTTGACTCAAAACCTGCAATGCAACAAGAATACTATGCATGCAACAACAAACGAAAATTATACACATCCCAACCAACACATATATACTCATACAACATGCAATCACAATCATCTCAACATCATCACTTTCTTCATCATAAGTCCAACACCTCAACTTTCACCACAACCCATTAATTTTCTACCAACATGGAAAAAATCATAAGTGAAAAATTCTTAAGGGATTCATACAACATGAAATCAGTACATCATTCTAGAACTCAACAATTCCACTAAAAGGCAAAAATCTAGCTTCCTTTACCTCGAGTAGCTTGAAACCAAGATAGAAGAGAAGAAACTCCAAAGCCCGACAATACAAATTCAAATGGATCAACAACTTGATTCAAGGCTTCTGAGCACCTAAATTCACCAACAAGACAACATAATAAAGAACAAAGAAGGAAATGAGAAGATTGAAAGAAAACGAAATTTACGGATCAAAAATCTTCTCCCTAGAATCCTTTCTCTTATGAAGTTGAGGAAAATAGTGTATGAGGTTTTGTTCAAAATAAAAACCTTATATACTCTTCCTCTTAGAGTCAAACTAACTCTCTGCACAAAGAAATTTTTAACACTACTAAACTCTTAAAGAACCATTAGACCTCAAAGTCTCTGAAGACTAATTAGCAACACAACTTAACAACATGAAAAATTTAAAATTATTATAACACTTCCACAACTCATAGTGTTACACCTCTCACCTTTAAGAGATATTGTAGACAAACACAAGTCTTTAGGGTGGTCACCTTCCAAATCTCCTAGTAGCTTTTTAGTTTCTTCAAAACCTAGAGGACAAAACATGAATGTTAAAATAAAAAGCGTAACCCTACTACGCTCACAATCCTAATTTATAAAAATTTTCCTACCCTTATTTTATTTTTAAATAAAATATAATTAAATATTTTATAATATAAAACGCATATTTTCTAAAATAAATTTAATCAAAAATACTTATTTTCTCCAAATACTTACTATAATAATGATTTCACAAATATTTCTTTATTAATTAAAAATCTTTAAAATATTTTATAAAATCTCTTTAATTAATTAAAACATCATTTTATCATTTTATAAAATTTAGGTTGTTACAAAATGTTGTGTATTGATGTGCATTCAATAGAAGGAGTTGTTTGTAATTACTAAAGATTGTTATTAAATGTAAAACAAACAAATTCTTTCTCATTAATATATGATTGTGAGAGAATATCAATAAAACAAATACATACAAACAATATATGTTGGTTTTTGAGTTTTTTTTTTGGTATTATTTTTTTTTGTGTTGAAACTTGTCTCAATATGAGATCACTAGGGTTAATCTAGTGATTAGGTAGAGAGGGGTTGGGATAGTTAGAAGCATGAGGATCTAGGTTCAATTCTCATTGCAACCATCTTTATAATCTTTCTTATCTTTACCAAAAAAAACATATGTATGAAAATTATTAAACCTAATTAATTTCAAAAAGAAAAAGTTTCATAATCATGGTAAAAATTTCTTAAAGATGAGACCAAAAAATAATTAAAAGTTCAAAAAATCTAATATCATATTATTTTTTAATTATATATAAAATATATTTTACGCATAATTTTTACCATGCTTATAATTTTTTTATTTAAACAACAATTAAATTTTATAATTTTGATATAAGTAAATCTATTATTACATATTTTACGTCTTGAATTAATTAAAAATTAATTCAAAATCATCTCATAAAATTTAAAATAATTTTTTAAAAAAAGAATCAAATTAATTTTAAATATAATAAATTAAAAATTAAAATAAACATTTTAACATATAAAGAATCAAAATAAATATAAAAAATAAGATAAAAGACTAAAAGAGAAATTTAACCAAAATTATTTTATAATATCTCCCATTAAACTTTTTTTTTATCAATTACTAGCATGCATAAAATTTAATCATACATTTATAGTTCAATGAATTCATTTAATAATTTATTACTTTCAATTAATAATTCTCGATCATCATATCACCTACTTATTTTATTTTATTTTTATGGCACTTTAAAAAAGTTAAATTAAAAAAGAAGACAAGGGCGTGTCACGTCACGTATGGAACTGTGGGCTGCTAGCACCAACCTAGTATAAGTTTGGGGCATACCAGAAACCATTTCTTAAACCCTTTGCTCTTGCTCTCTCTCTCTCTCTCTCTCTCTCTCTCTCTCTCTCTCTCTCTCTCTCTCGAACAACATCGTTTTCTCCGCTTTCAACACCCACCATCTTCTCTTCTCTGTAAGCCCCTTTCATATTCTTGTTCTACTATGGGTTATTATTTTTTGAGCCTGTTATATCTCTTCATCAAACCTTGATCATATTTTTTCTTTTCTCTTACCAACTGCATATACATATCTTGTGATTTTTGTATCAAACAGCATCTTCAACTATTCATTTTTTTTTGTTAGAGAACGATAAAATATATCTTTTTTCTTAAACCCCCTTTGATGGGGTTTGGGGTTTTTGTGTGACCAATTATTTTGTTGAAATATTTTACATCTTTTGCAGTTTTGCTATGCTCTCTTTTTTATTCGTGTCTTGCACTGTTGCTTGGCTGGGATTGTCATCTAATTAGGAGGTTTCGATGCAAAGGGACAAACTTTTTGTTGTTTGTCGACTTTATTTCTTTGATTGTTTAGTGATGCAGTTGGATGTTGGTTCTAGAGTTTCAGGGTCTGTCTCTAGACTGGTTATGAAAGTGTTTAAGCTTTATGTGCATATTATTGTTTGAGGATATTGGATTCGAGACCGAATGTGCTGTTTTGTATGTTGGTTTTGTTGTAATTGTAAATTGGAGCTTCGAGTGAAGAGCAGAGAGCCACCAGCTTGCTTCTTCTCATACTGCTCCGTAAATCAATAGCCTTTTCGTAGAACAGGAATTGAATTGGTTCCATTCTTGTTAAACTTTTATGGCATAAATTTATTCAAATGTTGTGGTGTGAACTGTGAAGTTACATTTACAATTTTCTTTAGGATTAAAACTATTTTACTGACTTACCTGCCTACCTTTGATGTAGTTGTGATAGTTCTGTTGTTCTCTTCTCTGGTTCTGTAATGTGAAATCTACAACTTTAATGTCATTGCCTACCAGATAGTTGAATATTCACTAGTAAAGGGGTCTTAGCATTATGACACAATGGGATGGGAAGAACTAAGCAAAAGGAAGTATCAAGGTTACTCTCCATTCAATCATTTTTGTGTGTTGAATGTGTGGGCTATTGATTGACATAATTGAGTGACATGAAATAATAAGAATAAACTATCAGATGTTTCTACAAAATGTGGTGCTGTGTCTTGCTGTGTTTTGTCGGTTGGTTGAGTATTGTGGGTCAAATCTCGAAGAGAAAATCCTTTGTTCCTACTATTAAGGGCTATTAACCTGTTTTGATATAAGTTAAAAACACTTTCAGAGTTTCTCTACTGAAAATAAAAAGTATTTTTCAGTAGAGAAGCTTTTAAAAGTGTTTATAAGATTGTATCCAAATAGGTTCTGAGGCCTAGGTCTCCTATAAACTTAAATTGATAGGTGAAGACATAGGATTGGTTTTACATCTCTAACGCATATATCATGATTAAGACATTTTTAACAATGTAGTGGCACAGTAAAAAATCTAAAGATTACTTGTGGAGATAAAAGATAGTTTATTGCACATTCCATTTCAACACTTGCACCATAATTTTATACTGTGTTTTTATCCATATCAATGATGCAAGGGTATTTCAAAATCGATGACACACCTAAATCTACACTAAATGGATACCTAAAGAACTCAAAAGTAACAACAATGTTAAAATTACCACATTCCACGTACTCATGTCGTACACAATTTCTGTACTTGTGCAACATAGATCAGCAATGATTCTTGTATAGTCTTTGTCCTTCATACAATTATAATCCAGGAAATTTTATTCTTTCAGTTTCTTCTGAAGGTTATTGTTATTTGATGAATGCATTTGCCAAGCAATGACAGTCTTGTAGAACTTTAATTGAATCCAGTTGGATTTGAAGTCTTAATTTTTATTCATTAGTAATAGTATATACAACATATCTTAACCGTCATTGCCCTTTGTGAAATAGATAATCACTTATCCCACAAAAGGTAAATTTTGAAGTGTTGATTTATTTTCAGGCTAATCATGGCAACCTTGTCAACTGTGAATCTCTCTCCCCATTGCATGTTTCAAACTCCAAGCAAAAATCAATCCACTATTTCCACCACAGTGAAATGCCCTTCTTCTCTGGGTTCTGTGAGGAGCGTTTCCAGATCTTTTGGCCTGAAGTCATCCTCTTCATTCAGAGTCACTGCCATGGCGTCTTACAAGGTTAAGCTGATCGGCCCGGATGGAAAAGAGAACGAGTTTGAAGCTGCTGACGACACTTACATCTTGGATGCAGCAGAGAATGCTGGAATTGAACTTCCTTACTCTTGCCGTGCTGGAGCATGCTCCACTTGTGCTGGGAAGATTGTTGCTGGTGCAGTGGATCAGTCTGATGGCTCATTCCTTGATGACAACCAACTGAAGGAAGGATTTCTGCTTACCTGTGTCTCATATCCAACTGCAGACTGTGTTATTGAAACTCACAAGGAAGGAGATCTCTACTGAGTGACCAATGCTGGCCTTGAAGTTGGGAAGTGGGAATTTGAGGTAGACTTTGCAACTAGGTTGCTTGTTCTGCTTTAGAATCAATTTTTCTTTTGGGGTTATTCCTTATTAGTGATTTGGGGTAATGATTTTTGTTTGTGCAAGCAAGCACTGTGATCTTAAGTCGATAAGCACCTTCGGTTGGTTTTGAAATGTGATAGTTTTTACGTGTCTTTACTCATTGAGTATATTAAAAAACATGTTTGGTTACATTCTAATATTCTTAAAAATATATTTAAAATTTTAAATAAAAATAAAAGTTGCAAGGGTATTAAAAAAGATCTTCTCATATTTTCATGAGAATATTATTTTGAGTATATTAAAAAACATGTACCATATTTTCTTAAGTTGCGAAGCTTTAGAACATTAGTGAAATAAATAAAAAAAATTTGAGCATCTTTGAATAAATTAATGAATGTATGTTTCATACGGCGCATTTAAATAGTTATGTTACAGTTTTTGAATCCTTGAATAATTTAATAAACGTTAGTTCCATATGGCACATTTAAATAGTTAAAATACAATTTTTGTTTGATTAACATTTTGCTCGCCTAAGCATAAGGGATATCTATTGACACGTTCTCTATTCCTTTTGACTATAAAATATGTTAATCTAGATATGACTATGAAGCTGTTGACACACATATATATATATATATATATATATATATATATATATATATACTATATGAACAGTTTCTCACATTATATATATATATATATATATATATATGAAGAAGGTTATAATAATATCAGTATAACTTTTACTAAGTATTACACTGCTTAATAACTTGTATTAAATTTGAATTTTGTAAATTTAAACGTTAGATTGAAAGTTCTTTACTTTTAGATTATATATACAAAATTTTATATTAATACAAGATAATTTAATACTTCATTCTTATAAAATAAAATTGACATAATATATATATTTTAAAATATATTAAAATATGAATATTTTGATTATCTTCAAGTTCTTGTTCAATTTTAACAAAATTTGATATACACGTATAAAGTGATATGAACTTTCAATCTAATGATTGAATTTATAAAATTCATATTTAATATAAAGTTATTGAGCGGTATAATACTTAGTAAAAATTACACTGGTGTTATTATAACCCTTCTCTTTATAAAAATATATATATATATATATATATATATATATTAAACAATATATATGTATTAAACAATAGGCATTAACATGTTTTAATGACTTCTATCTACCTTATTGTTAAAGTATTTCGGATGTATTTTTTAACAATTATTCTCGTGTGAGCTTTATAGTTCCATACGTTTGTAGCTTTACTGATTCATATAATCATATCGTTATCATTTATATATAGGTGTAATTTTAAGAATGTTTCTATTTACTTACTTATTGAAATACTTAAAAAAAAGACTTGTGCAAAACACAGTTATCTTTCCTAGTAATGTAATAAAAATAACTAAAGCTCCTACAACGCAATTAATTAGTTATATTGCATCAACTTGTTTGATTAATTTTTGTTCACCTAAACAAAGGAGGGAGCCAGTGTTTATACTACTATAGTACCTATTCTCTTTTTATTATTTTTATTTTAAAATAAATAAATTAGGGGAAAAAATTCCCATTTATCCGTCCATACTCCATATCGAGTTTCAACTTGCGTGAACTTATAATAAAGTGTTCTTCGAAAGAAAAAGAAAACACTGCAAATTTCTGTTTTAAAACTTAAACTGCGAATTTCTGTATTTAAAACTTTAGTTCATCAAGTTTACTCAAATTCCATATGTCAATAGTGGATTTATAAAAAATTGTGAAATATTGGCTAGCCAATAACTATAACTTAATAAAGGGGATAACCTTTTTTTTTATATATATGATATTTTCTTTTCAATTTTATCCTTCTAATTTTTAAAAATCATTCTACAAATTATCCACATCAATCAATTAACTATTCATTAATATATAATTTTTACATTTTTTTTAAATAAAGAGACACGAAATACCTCTATTTCTTATTAGTAAATATAGAGACAATGATAAATTAAGTAAATTTAAATTTAACCAAATAAATATGATTGTTTAGCCAAACATGATTTATATTTAGAGTATGATTGTGTTGATTATAATTTTATTCCTATTTTTTTTTTATTTACCTCTCTTAGGGATGTACTTTTTCACATGGATTTTAAATAAATTTGTTGGCAAGAGTTAGACCCTTCCATTTAAAAAAAATGATATATTTATTTGTTACAGAGCTAATAAAATCTAGTATATTCTGGGTCAAAAATATGTTTTCTTGACATAATTTTTTTAAAAGACTTGGTTAAACATATATAAAAGTGTAGCCTAGTTATAAGCTTGTTTAAAAACATACTCTATGATAAATTAACATAAAAAAAGGTAAAAATAAGTATGTTAGACTTTATGGGAATAAGTCTAACTTATTTATATGATATAAATATATTTTAAAATTTAATATGACATTCATGATAACTTATTTAAAAAATATTTTATAATAAAACTTCTAAATTGAAAATGAATTTCTTTCAATAAACTTAAGATTGACTCTTAATGTAGGTGGACATGCTTAATATTTAAAAAGATAAATAAATTATGATTTATATATATTATAAAAATTTTGATATAATAATAATACTAATAACAAATATTTTTATTTATTTAAATAGGTTAGTGTGTTAAGCTTTAAATAATTTTTTAAATGACTTAGAGTATGATTTTTTAAACTAAAAAAGTTTTACTTAAAGTTATAGCCTAATTTATTTTCCATGTAAGTCTGGTCTAGCTTGAACACAATATAGACTAGATAAAAAATCCTTATAAATGACCAGACATATTTCCACCCTATACATGAACGAAATGCTATACCAATTTTTGGGATGCATTATGCATAGCACAAGAAGATTTATAATAGCTTCATAGTTGAGTAATGGATCCATTGTTTGCAGAGGAAAATATTGACTTTACTCTAAATGGGTTCTCAGAGCCCAAATTCCATTCGTTCATTGTGTAATGACAAAGGCTGAGCTAGGAGGCATGGCCCAACTATAATAAACTGAACAAGAGGATTAAACCTTAGTTGAGGTATGAATTGAAGTGGAATATACATTGATGAAAAAAATTATAAAGAATTATGAATGCTCTAAATCACGTATATATCTTTTTTCCAACCAATGAAATCATGGTTGTCTCTCTTGATTATTTTAGGTGGGGTTCCATTATTTCTATTGTCTGATTAGGTGAAGCCAAGTTGAGAGCTTCAAAAGCTGTTTGTTACTACATAAGTTTTTGTATAGAGAGATTTGTAGGGTAGGGTAGAGGGTGCATGCATGATGGTTGATGGTAGTTGTTGCTACCCACCAACCCTTTCTAATGAATAGAAGGATTGGTAATTGGTAAGGGCACTAAGGTGAGTGAAAATGGGTCTCATAACATAACATAACATTTCACGTAGCTTTGGAAAAGCACAAGCTGAGATGCAACTTTTTGTTATTTTCCTACTTTTCCAAAGCAAACAAATTTTATCTTTTTTCTTCCCAAGTCATTATTACAAAAAATATCATATTGATACCACTCAGTAAGATTTAATAAGAATTATAAATGTATGCATTTTAAAACAGCACATTTTAAATGTAAAATCGGTTTAAAAAATTCAAATTAAAAATTGAAAGAAAAAAAAACATTTTTACAGTATATAATATAATTTAAGTTGATATCATTAAAAATGAATGACACAGTTTTTATTTTTATTTTTACAAAACTTGGATACAATTTCTTATATATGGTTAGTGTTGTTCTCACTTTAACAATATGTACTTGCATTTAATGTAGGTCTCATTATTATACATTTATACGTATTAATAAGTTAAAATTTTAACTCTGATTGGAGAACAACACCAACTATACCTAAATTTAAGTTTTTCTTTTTCCTTTTTTGTATTCATATTAATTTGTAGGCACCATAAACTCACATGATGTTAGACAATTTATGTAGGGAGAAGTCATGTCCAATCTCTATCACAACAGTTACAGAATCATGAGCAAGATTAATTTTTAGTCCAATGAGTTCAAGATGCTCATGATAAGACAAAAACAATAGTAATATTTGAAAAGTTTGATTTGATTTATAAAATAAATTAAGATGAATTAAGTAATATTAGAATTTGTTTGGATAAAGTTTTTCATAAGTATTTCTTATGGAGAAAAATGAGAAGAAAGATTGAAATAAGTTTAACACTAACTTACTGTGGCAAACCTTTTAAGGGATAAGGGGGAGCCACGGCTCCCCCAAACTTTTTTTTAAATATTTTTATATATATTCATATATATATAGATTATTTTATAAAATGACTAATGATAGTATTTTTTTTAAAATTTTATTATCATGCATATTTATTTTGAGTAGAGAAAATAAAATAATTTGTTATTTTTTAATTAGTAAAAAAATTAATATATATAAAAAAATTAATTTGGCACCCTCAAATTTTTTATTGATGTTCCGTCACTGCTAACTTATGCATGAGTTAAAAATAAGATTTTGAAGAAGTTAATAAAAAAAGTACTTATGCATGAATTAATTTTAGCTCAATGCATCTGTAACGAGAATGCTTAATCCTCAGAGATGCTTACTTGTATCTCCCCTCCTTAGATCTACTATCGCATGGAGAATCATCTAAGATTAGTGGCTTTAAGCATTGCAACTTCAAATTTTTAATTAAAAATTAATATTATAATATATATTTTAAGTTAATAAATAAATTATTAATGATATGTAAAAATGTAAGATTTTTTGAGGGACTTAAATATATGCTAAATTGGAAAGGAGAACATTGATAAAGATGCTTGAATTAAAAAAAGTAAAAAATAAGTAATATGTACATGTAGGTTCCACTTAAGAACCTAAAAAATATCTCTAATGGAGATATCCTATAAAAAAAATGTCATCTATCCTTCTTAATTTTCTCTTCTAAAAGTGCTTTTGACAAATTTTACCAAATATATATATAGACCCTTAATCATTCATAAAAAAATCTAACGATTAATATTTAATCTCGTACATGATTTGTTATGTACACTATTCACTATCAATTTCTTATGAATGAGTTATATTATTTTCTTAACTTTCTAAACTCATTTTAGAGGAGCATGTTCCTTAAAAAAAAAATTGTATAAATTACAAATATTCTTCATAAAAAGTAATTTGTTCGAATTGAGTAAAATCATTATAAGTAAAAAGTTTTTTCTTCTAATATTCAATGCAATTATATTACATATCTAAAATTCAAATTTTCAATCACTGTTAAATTAGAATAATTTCACACTTAATTCATACATTTGATGGTAGATTTTTTTTGGAGTTTTAATAATGATACTGTATGATTTCATGTATGTTAGAAATTTTAATTTTATTAAATTATGAAATTATCACATTAATAATATATAGTTAGTAGCCTATAGAAGTTCTATAATGCAACTTTATATATATATATATATATATAAAGTTTGCAACTAGGTTATTATAATTTATCATGTGTAATGTTATAATGCTCAAAGACTTATGATTATGCAAATGTTCTTTTTAAGACTTTATTGATCAATTGGTTATTAAATTACGAGTTATTTTATTAATTATTTAATTTAAAACGTTTGAATATCATAAAAAAAACAAATTAAAAAGAATCAAATCCAACTAAATTGAAACCTAAGAAGTTGGATTCATTCAATATTATACTCAAATGGAATCATATATTATTTTTTTAATGATTGAGAGATGCTTTTTAATGTAAAAATTGAACTAAAAATAGAAGTTGTTAACTTCAGAGATATAATACTTAAATTCCTTAATTAAAGATTGAGCTTGAATCCTCATTTTAGGTATAGAATACACCATTTTATTTCGATAGATGTGGATTCGATGATACATCTAAATCTTGAAAAGAAAAATAAAAAGAAAACCAAACCAAACTTCAAATGATGATAATTCATGCATTGCATCTTCTTTGTTGATCAATTCTGATGGGTATATAATTCGAATCCAATTATTATTCTCATTGATATTGTCATCATTAGCAATAACATAAGATAAGCAGCACAATTAAAAATGGAGTTATTTATAAAAGAAAATAAGTAATTGTTTGCATATTTTTGAGTTTTTATAACTGTTAATGATAGATCCAACAAGGTGAGTGATTCCGAAGATCGAAAATTCATTTTTGTGAAAACAGCAAGCACGTGCCATCTCAGAGGTTTATCAGCCGCCTTTCATGGAGGACTTCATGCACAACACGTGCGCTTCACTAACATCTCTGCAACCATTTTATTTTACTATAAAATTATTAATTATTTCATCATATTAATTATATTCATTAATTTATTTCTGCCCATTTTGGTGGCAGATTTACCGTTCAAAGTTTTCGGACTTTTCGTCTCTTCCCAGCTCATTTTTTTAATATAATATAATTAAAAACCTTGAGAGTTAATCATATAGTCATCATCATCATATTCAATAAAAGAAACTAACCCCTAAGTTTGAGTTAATCATATAGTCATCATCATCATATTCAAAATCTCAATTGTAAGTTAAGCACAGTTGATATCATATTATATTATGATTTATTTATCTATATACTGTGAGTATAAAATAGCAAGTGTCATGTTATTTATTTATTTAATTAAATAAAAATAAAATAAAATAATTTTAAAAATATAATTAGTTGTTGATAAAAAAACTTTATATTAAAATTGCATGAATGATTAGTTATTATATTATTTGATAATTAAAAAAGTATAAACTTACATGTTACCATCAAATCATTAAAAGTAATATATAATAATTCAGTATTAAGATTGTGCTGCTATCTACACCAAAGTTAGAGAGAGAATAAAATTAGAGGTGTTTAGCTAGGTTAGTATTAACATACTTAGAATATAGTGAATACTCTTTCTTTATGAAATGAGGAAGACAATAAATACATCACTATTCTTCACGATATCATGGTCCACATTACATCCAGGTCATGATTGTTTCAATGTGAGAGGGTATTTAATTTTGTATAACGCAATTTGTCATAAATAAATGAATGAATGAATAATAATCATAAATAAAATAAAATAAAAATATAGTCATAACAGATCATTAAAGATTTTGATGTGGCCAAATTAGTCTTAGCATATAAGCTTTCGTAATTAGTTAAAAGATGTAATTCAGGAGTACTATTTTTTTTTTTTGAGAGCTGTAATAAATTTTCTTAAGAGGCCTGTTAATTTTTTTTCTTTCTTAAAAGACTATTTTATTCCAGTAGAAGGGTAAAATTGAGTTAATCTTTTTATTACAGAATTTTCATTAGTAAACCAGCTTAAACCAATTAAATAATTTTGAAGGCCTAAAATATTTAAATAAACTAATAAGCATACAATCTAAAAATATCATAGTAAAAATTATTGTTGTATATTTTATTTATTTCAATTAATTAACTTTTAAAGTTAATTTTTTTACTAAGATATAATATTTTTAATTATTAAGGAAGTATAACCTAATTGATTGAGTATGTTAAGATGCGTGAGTGTTTTAAACCTTTTTTTAGTATTATCTTTAATCCCCCACTTATCATACTTTTTAATTAAATATATTTTCTTAAAATTAACTTGTTTAATAAATAGATCTTACTATCAATATTGATTGATACAAGTGACAAGAATTTGTGTTTATTAATCGAGTTGTTCCTAATCTTATATATAAAATAAATTATCTTAAGGAAGAATACTCACCATGTAACATGGTTAAAAAAACTCACTTAACCTATGCCTAACCAGAAATGAGAAATAGACTCAAGGATAAAAAAATTACTAATATAGTGTCAATTAATTATTTATATACTTATTAATTACTTGAATAATAATTAGTTATTCCTTTTTTTTTGTGTAATCACTGTAACGATATTTCTAGATTAATCTTAGTGGATTTTAAAATTCTTTTTATTATGGTGTAAAAAAATATTTTTACTATCTAATTTTCTCTTAGTAAAGTCTATAATAATTCAAAAAATATAAAAAGTCAAATACCTTCTTTTACATAAAAGAAAAACTTGTGATATAATTAAAACGATGAATTTACAACACATTAAATAATCACTGTATGTGTGGTCCTCACATTTGGAATGAGTGGGATCAGCGATCAGGGGTCCACACTTACAATGAGAGTAGGCTTCACCAACAGAGTCTGTATTTTCATTTGTTTTGTTGTACTTTGTGTATAACTATAATGTATATATTATCTTTACAAGTCTTACATGAAAGCAAAATCATCTGTACATCATTTTTTTACATTACTTTTTACGTCATACTTATTCAGGGAAAAAAAAACAAAGAGGTAGTGTAATAAAATGCACATTTATTTTTGTTTTATTATCGATTTTAGTAACAGTACTTTCAGAATGATGTAAATAAACTGAAATAGTAATAATAGCATTGCTCTTGAAAACAGAGTTTCCCTGATCCTCACTGGACAATGATTAATATATATGTATATATACATCAAGGGTCACACGTTATGAAAAGTTTTATTAGGTGGCCAACTTTTGCATCATCTCAGTTTCTGTGCCTACAAGCGTGGTGCTCTCAGTTGTGGTCTATGGCCATCATGATCAGATCCTTCTCCTTCATGTCAATGCTTTTGTTTCTTCTCACCGTTTCGGGTTCGTTATCTACTTCTGCTTGATTCCATTTGATTCCTAGGAAAGTGGATGAATAAGAAAAGAAACAATATATGTTATCTAAGATAGTCTTATTCTATTCATACTCATCTTGGAAATGGAACATTCTAATTCTATCTATCTACCCTTGTTTAGTGTGATCAGAATAGCTTCACAAGAATGAAAAACCATGTTGATAAGAGGAATCAACTATCTCAACTTGGAAGTAGTATATATTCTCCTAATGATATGTATAATCTGACTTAAAGGACCATTTTGATTCAATGTTTGATCATTTGTGCAAGTTAAACTGCATTAACCAGATATTTCTCTTGAAAACGTGCTGATTTTTAAATTTTGGTTTCAGATATGTTTGTGCCAATCCATGGCGATGGCTTTGGAATCAACTATGGACAGATAGCCAACAATTTACCTCTTCCATCTCAAGTGGCTGTTCTTATAAAATCCATGAACGTGAGTAGGATCAAACTCTATGATGCTGATCCAAATGTTCTAGTAGCCTTCTCCCAATCCAATGTGGAATTCGTTATAGGACTTGGAAATGAGTTCCTACAGAACATGACAAATCTATCCAAAGCACAAACTTGGATTCAACAGCATGTTCAACCTTACCTCTCACAAACAAAAATCACTAGCATCACTGTGGGAAATGAGGTTTTCAATAGCAATGATACTCAACTAATGCTGAACCTCCTCCCAGCAATGCAAAATGTGCATGATGCCCTTGTTAATCTTGGACTAGACCAACAAGTTTCTGTCACCACTGCACATTCCTTCAACATAATATCCAATTCCTACCCTCCTTCATCTGGTGCTTTTAGGCAAGATCTTGTGCAATACATCCAACCCCTTCTAGATTTTCATGCTCAAATCAACACACCTTTCCTAATCAATGCATACCCTTTCTTTGCATACAAAGACAACCCAAATGAAGTGTCCTTAAACTACGTACTTTTTCAACCAAACCAAGGCTTGGTTGATCCAAACACTAACTTGCATTATGACAACATGTTGTATGCTCAAATTGATTCTGTCTATGCTGCCATCAAAGCAATGGGGCATAGTGATATTCAAGTGAGGATTTCTGAGACTGGTTGGCCTTCTAGTGGTGACCCAGAAGAGGTTGGAGCCACACCACAGAATGCAGCATTGTATAATGGTAACTTGCTCAAAAGAATAGAGCAGAGACAAGGCACTCCTGCAAATCCTTCTGTTCCAATTGACATATATGTCTTTGCACTTTTTAATGAGAATTTGAAGCCTGGTCCAGCATCAGAGAGAAACTATGGCCTTTACTATCCTAATGGTGTTCCAGTTTATAACATTGGATTGAAGGGTTATCTCCCACAGATGCCTATGGCAGCTAAATCCAATGTAAGTAGACACATGATGGAAGTTTCATATACTTTTTAAAATTCTCTCTATCTTTTTTCTTCCTTAATATTTGCCTATTTGGCTTGCAGATTATATATTTTGATCGAGTAGTTTTTAATATATATCTAATTAATGATTCCATCGCTCTTAATCTGCAGACTTTGTGTGTCAATTTTCTTGCATGTATAGTTACATGCTTGATCTTTGCTTTGGAGCTTTCAAGATGATGATCAGAAGAAGGAAGAACTCAAAGGAAACAGAGGAATTCCCATACTTATTCCCTTGCAATCGAAAGTTATTCGAGGTGAGGAAAAAATTAATTTTTCCATATATTTTTCTCCTTTTTAATAATTTTCCTTGCATTTTATCCGCAAGGTACTTGGTTTTTTCTGCGATTACTGTTTTCAGTCTTAGTGGGATACTTGAGTACCGAAACTATAATATGTTTAGATAAATTCCTCTAAAAGTATATAAGAGAAGACAATGAAAAGAAAAAAATAAAATAAGTTTATGTATTACTAATTTTAACTTAAGAAAAAGTTAACTTTATTTTTTCTTCTCTTATTTTTGGAAAAGTTTATTTAAACGGTTTGTTTAAAAAGCTAGAATGATAATATACAAGTAAAGGGATGTAGATTTTTCTTTTCCTTTATTCAAGTCTTATAGGACACATGTTAGATAAGAAGATGATTACTGAACATGTTATGGATTCATTCTACCATGTCACAGTAAATTAGAAATGATATGGTTGTGTTAGAAAGTTCTGTCAGAGGCTCAAAGAGGAAAGCCTTTTTTCATGTTACCACTTTAATCTTCACTTTCTAATAGTATTTTTCAAAATAGAACAGTTTAAAAATTGCCAATGGGAAAAGTTTTGGAACCATACTGTAGAAAGGTTCTGCCTAAATGTCAATTAAAGCAGAACCTGTCAAATGCTGTCCATTTTGTGCATGCCCCAAGTGGACTCTTGTGCCGACTTTAACCACCCCAACAAAACCTTCATTACTCTTTTGAATATTAAAATTTGGTAATGAGTCTCCATCTTCCTTATCTCCCACTTGCAATCATGCATATGAATCTTCCTGTGGATGAAATTCTTCTTGTCTTCAGCTATACAAAAGTCCAAATCAGTTGCATCACACTAAACAGAAAAGCCCTCAGAACCTCATTTCAGAAATTCAAACCCCACAAGTTTTTTCCATGGTTATGATTTGTGAACCTTATATCATATATATCTCCATCTTGTTCCAATAATTACCTCCTTTTAATTCCCAAAAAAAAAATTTAAAATTATTTTGAGATATTACACACTTTGAAACTGATATGTGATCATGATTTTATTCTTAAAAAATGTCTTGATGAGTTAATAAAAAAAATGCTTTTCTAAATTGATCTCCACTCTCAACTCTCAAGTAATATGAAATTTTTGGTACGCCGAAATATTATTTAATTAATGAAAGTGTGAAATAAGTAGTTAATGAGAAGGGTATTATAAAAGAGATGCTTGAAATGGTTAAGAATTTATACTATCTTTAACGGTGAGTCATGTTCATGCTCATGCAGTAGGAATTTCTAGCTGTGAATTATTCCGATGTCAAAAAACGTGTTGGAAAATTATGTGCTTGCGTATATGACATAATAAGTATAGTATATATCTCATAAAATGGAAAGGGTTATGAGCATATGAGTGGCTAAAACCTTTTATGAAGGAACCTGATTTAGAATTTTTGGTGCATCTTTTTAGGACAAAAACCACGTGTAATATATTGACATGAATATAGCATGGTCCATGCCCTTGAAACTTGAAAGTGAATTTTTGTATTCATTCATCACTTAAGTTAAAGGTCTAAACAGGATAAGATAATTGACAGGTAAAAAAGCATCCACTTGAAAATTTCTAGCTTAAAGAGTGATTTCATGATTCATAGGGGTGTTCATGGATCGGTTTTTTCAAAAAACCGATCCGAAAAAACCGATCCAAACCGAATCGAACCGTTTTATAAAAGTGGATCGGTTAACCGATCCATTTTTTATAAAGTGGATCGGTTTGGTTTTCTTAAAATATGGATCGGTTTTTTTTAAATTGGATCGGTTCGGTGCGGTGCAGTTATCCACTTTTTACTCATATATGGATCAGTTTTTTTAAAAAACCAAACCGAACCGAACCGATCCACTTTGTAAAAATGGATCGGATAACTGAACCGGTTTTATAAAATGGTTCGGTTCGGATTTTTTTTCAAAATGGATCGGATTTTTCAATATGGATCGGATCGGTTATGGATCGGTTCGGATCAATTTGGATTTTTTGCACACCCCTATTCCTACAGTACTGCATTAAAGAGGCACTTTTTTTTTCTTCCTGATTTAGTACTACATTGACAAACAAAATATTGTTATACCATGTTTTAATTAAATAGAGTTGAAATAAAAAATAAAAATAAAAATAAAAAAAAGCCACAAGAACGTGTTTTGAAAGTGTAGTTTTTCTTTTTTTCCCTTTTTTCCTTGCAAGTAAGCGACTGTGAAAGCATTATTATAATATGAGAAATTATATTTATGGTTAGCTCAAGAATAAGATTACTAAAACTCAAGTTTTAATTTTATGAACAAAGGTTTATTTGCTATTAAATATTACTTCCTTTATTCTTTATTATGAGAAAAATAATAATTTTATACTTATTAAAAAAATTAATTATTTGAATTAAATTTTACTAATTTCATAACATTATTTTTAAATAAGATAAAAGTAGTTAAAATTTACTTATATTTTAAAATAAAAAAGTTTATTTTTTATTTATAATAAAAAAAAGGAAGTAAAAATAAACAGGTCATATAATTTGACAGAAAAAACTCAACATATAATACCCGTTTAAAATAAATAAAATAAAATTATAATTACGTCTCAGTCATGGTATCATATTTAGAAAATTTAAGGATTTTTTAGTGTTGAATTCTCTCTTTTTGATTTCTCTATATTTAATTATTAATTAATTTAAAATATAATTGTACTAAAATTCATTAAAAAAAAGTATTAGCGTAGCAACTCACTTATGATATTAGTTGGTTCTTTTGTTTAAAGCAAATGAGATAAAATGAGATCCACAAAAAATAAATTAAAAACTTAAGTTGGATTCAAACATAGGAGTAAAAGTTAATGAATGTTTTTAAATCTTGTATAATAACAAAATATTAACTAAAAAAGTTAAAATTTCAAATTAAATTATTGCAAATGGAGTATAATAACCATTTAATTTATTAAACAAGGTTTAAGAGTAATATATATGGTGTAATAGTGACATTTCTATCAATTTTGAGATATCTTTCAAACTGTGCTTTCAGAATTTGAGTGGGAAAGGTGTGGACCTAAATCCAGAACTTTAAATCTATGCTTCAAATTTGATATATATTAAGATCAAAATTTAAACCATTCAAGTGCTGACTGCACTAAATGCATCATTTTCTACTGCATTGATATAAATCCCTAAATGTAATACTTATTTGATTGCATGTTATTGACTTTGATATATCCTTGCAGGGAGAAGGAAACTAAAACAGCACAACTTTCTCTTCATTTGTCTAAGGAAAATCCTCACTTTGAATGAAGAAGTTGGCGTTTGGTTCATATAATCTAAAACATATATCATCATTCATATAGACATTGATTTAACAGTTGTAGCAATGATCAAAATAAATCCCCGAAATTGGAGGTTTAACAACAAGGAGTATAGTAATATTATAAAATTTTAAATAAAAAAAAAAAAAGGACTACCGTGTTTTTTTGTAACATTTAAAAATTATCTTATTTTTTAATTTTCGGAAATTGTGAGAGCTATGATGTATATGAACAATTCCAAAGATTGTATCCATAAAAATATTGAATTTTGAGGTAATCGTCTTTTTTTTATTCGCTTAATCTCGATATTCAATACTGGTTAAGGTATCACATTATATATAAATTTATTAAAATAATTTTAATTGTGTTAGTTGAATAATTTATGAAATGGTGAATTAAAAAATATTATATTAAAAATGATAACATCATTTATTTATAATTTTTTTAAATATTAAAATTGTAGTTATTATGAAATTGATGAAGTATATAATATTACAAGAATACGCTTTTCATATGAAAGAGAGTATAACCACTTCACGGTATCAACAAACGCTTAGATCAATCAATATAAAGTTATTCCAACTTAATCAACTATATTAAATATTTGGGAAAAAATTGTTACCCGTAATGAATCTTGCTCGAAGTATCATACATGTGATCGATGCTAAATAAATTTTAGGTTTAAATATGTTTTGTTGTATCAGATTTAGAATAATTTTGTTTTTAATTTTTTAAATTTAAAAATTGATATTTTTAGTTTCATAATTTTAAAAGATCTTACTTTAATTCTTATACTCAAATTTTGTTAATAACTCTACCAAATTTTGTTGAACAAATATATTAGTATTCTTATAAGTGAAAACATTACATTAAATTTGTAATACTTTGCATTTTATTAATGATTGGTGTTTTTTATTAATTGTTTTATGTTGTGATTAGTTAATTAGTTGTAAAATTCTAAGGGTTTATAAATTGTAATGAATTTTTGTTGTTTAGGAGGTTAATATGAGCAAAGGTTAGATTGACCAATCTCAAAAAAGTATTTCATATTTTTTTCAAAATTTGAGATTCATAAATTCATTTTTTAAAGAAAACTAGAGAGAGAAGCTTTGAAGTAAAAAATTCTTCCTCTATCTTTCGAGTTTTCTAGAAAGTGCAGAAATCCTTCTCTTAAAATTAGTGAGTGACTGAACTAAGATTCAAGTCACTAGAGTTGAGATTTGGAGTCTTATAGTCATCGTATGAAGTTTTGAAGGAATCCATTTTCCTCCTTTTCTGATTGATTTTTAGGTAAGGGAGGCTTTTTGGTTGAACTGTTGTTGAATTTTTGTTTGATTTATTTCTCATTGTGGCTATGTTGTTGTGAATTTAAGAGTTGATTCCTTATTCGTAGGGTTTTTGGTGTTTTGAAGAAAAATTTGGTGAGCTTGATTTATTAGTAGTTGCATGTTGTGTTTTGTTGATGAAAATGGATTTGTAGTGATGCATAAATGTTATTTAGTATTTTGTATGTTGAAAATTTGTTAATTTTCAAGTGATTGAGTCAAAGTATCAAGTACAAAATTCATTATCATGTCAGATGTAACTTTAAGGCCTCAAACTTAATGTAGGTCAAAAACTCTCTATTATAAGCTAACAAATAATTAGTCATTAAAACCTCTTAATCAAATAATGTTAAAGATAAAAATATTATCCAACTAACATTAATAATTATTGTATCTTAGAAGAATTTTTAATGAAAATTATTTAAACTTATATATGAAATTCATGATAGAAAAATAATCATTTTATAAACTTCTATCATTTAAGTAAACTTAAAAGAAAAATTACTATTCAATTAATATTAAAAATTATTGCATGAGTTATAAAATTCTTATTTTTATTTAAAATCCTAAAAACCCTAAATGATTCTACTAATTAAATAATAAAAAAAAATGGCACTCAAACGTGAATTTCTTAACATATAAATATAAAGACCTGAATTTCTTAACACCACTAATTAATATTAATATGTTATGTTAAAATATTATATTAATCCAATCTGGTCCTACATATTTTTGATAAGTTTAGAATTAGATCGGATTATATGCCTTAGTCTCATTCGATGTGGCAATTGTAAAACTTTGTTTTCACTTTTGACGCGCTTACAAAATTGAAATAAAAGATTGGGTAATGGCGGGAAAATAAACCTAACTACAAAACCCTAACCCTAAATCCATTCCAATTCCAAGAATTGAAGAAGAGAATGGCGGCGGAGGCGGAGGAGCTGCCACGGGCCATCGTGCGGCGCGTGGTGAAGGATAAGCTGTCTCGTTGCTCCGAAGACGGAGACATTTCCGTCAGCAAAGACGGTCTTCTCGCATTCTCCGAAAGCGCCAGAATCTTCATCCACTACCTTTCTGCCACGTAAGCCCTCGAAATCTCGATTCAATTTCACTCAACAGTCTCAATTTTTAAGTTTGAAACCCTTCTCCCCTAATTACAAAAACTAGGATTCAGATCGGATGATCGGTTAATAGATGATGAAATTAATCCGTGGGAGGAAATAAAAATGTGAAATTATTTAGATAGAAGAAGCAGATCGGTAATGGGGTACATGTGTTATATTTGTATGTATATGTAATGTATACATATATGTGTGTGTATTGTATGGTATGTGATGTGATGGTGTGATGCAGGGCTAATGACATATGTAAGGAGTCAAAGAGGCAGATTATCAATGCTGAGGATGTTTTCAAAGCTCTTGAAGATACTGAGTTTCCCGAGTTTATTCGCCCTCTAAAAGCTTCTCTTGAAGGTTGGTCACTTTCACTTACAATCTTCAGTTCAGACCAAAGATCAGGGTCTACTAGCTCTGATTTATCTTTAGTAACATGTCAAGTTCTTGTGAAATCACCTTGTTCTAAAAGTTAGCAAGAAAACATTGTGACATTATGAAGAGAGTTAGAAGATTAAATCTAGATCATACGACCATATATAGATGGTTATGATTGAAAGTTTAATAATTGCATGACCACTTTAAAAAGCCGTTTGACTTTATGATTTAATATCAATCTATCGTGATTTGATTCAATGGTCATGATTCAGTCCTCTCTCTCTCATCATCTTGATATACCCCTTCTCTCTGTGTGTATCAGTGTATGCATATATATATATATA